TTGTCACTACTCGAAGCACTTCCTACAATGCCGTGCTTATCGTGTGCATCTTCAGTTTCGTTAAAACAAAAGAGCAACAGTTTTCCAGATCTCAGCTGTACGATGCAATTGTTGGCCAAAAATGTTTAATGAATACAAATGGAAGATGAATCAACAAAAGTTCAAGCTGCGCTGCAACCTGTCGGCATAAGTGAGGGATATGAGTAGAAACAAATCAAAAATAGAATATATAAAAATCTAGAGTGATGCTTTTTGAATACACCTCGTATACACATATGTATATAGATACATTTTCTATATATATATTGTAGTCTTTTTTGATTAATTAACCATAGATCTTTTGCTAAATCAGTCGACCAACCTTCTACTACTTTCTAACCACGGTGCAGCTGCGACCTATAGAAAAGTTTACGCCACACATTTCGTATTCGTGGGCTATTTTATTGAACTTTAATTCATTGTGCAGCAGAAACAGCCGCAGTAGCAGCAGCAGCAGCAACAGTCGAAATGTGGCGCATAAATTCTTTTTACTTAAGTTGCTACTTTGTGCGATTGCGATGTTAAATGTGCCTGGCGGATGCAGCCGATGTCCGCGCTTCCGCCTTTTTATTGTAAATACGCGTAAGCAGCTGGCAAAGCAGGAGCAGCAGCAGCGGCAGCAGGAGCAGGAGGCGCTGTAGCAGCAGCTGAAGCAGAAGCTGTTGCCCTTCAATACAATGTACATTGTACAATACATTGTCCATTGGGTCATAAAATGGCTTCCGGTTATGCTTGAAGTAAGATTAACTTGTCGTTTGCAATTTCTCTTTGATTTGTTTCGAAAAATCGAAATGGGGCGTCCCCAGCTAGGCGCGAGCGAAAGGTTGAATTGTTTTTTCTTCTTTTCTTTTTTTTTTGTTGTGTTGCCTGTTGCTAGTCTTCGGTTTCGCTTTCATCTTCCTCTCTAGACTTTAGTCCCAAAAAATATATTTATAGATCTTACTCGTTACTTGATTACTCGTTACTCCAGCAAATGAAGCGTGTGAGCTCTTCCTCAAAGAGTAAAAATAAAATTAATTTGATATAGCTTTAAAGTTTATTTTGGCTTGCAACAAGTTTGTTTGGCTTTAAACTTGCTAACAACAAACTTTACTCGCTGCAAGCGCTTGCCAAACTTCCAAATGTCCAAATGTTGCCAGAGTTGGATGCGGGGTATGTCGATGGAAGTGAAGCTTTTTTAGTGTTATGTCCAGGAATTATTCATGTTTGAATCGTTAAATAACTCATTGAACTATAAAGCTGACTTTTACGTTGCCGTAGTCGGAACTTTCTTGGGCACTACGTGTTACCAATTATGTACTATTACATGAAAGAAAATTACGTTACTCGTTACTTATTCAACTGTTACTTAGTCTTGCTGATTGCTGACCGTCGTATGTATAAGAGTTACTTTAAGATGCGATATTTTCACTTGTTATATATTTACTCGTTACTTGCTTACTCGTTAATGTCTCACTCGTTTCTTGTTTACTCGTTACTTTCCTTTACTCGTTATTCTTTACTTGCTTACTCGTTAACATGCATACTATCTGCTTGCTCTTCAAGTGATTCCCTATCGGTATTGTGGCATTACTATGTTGTACTCGTTGCAGTATAAGAAATTTCTTTCTCGTTACCTTAATACAAGAGTTTTATGGGTATGGAAGACAAAACTCTTCTATGAGCTTATTTACAGAGTATTTGCGACGTCGTTCAACCTGTTGCCTTCACGCTTCGCTCCACGCAGAGCCCTCGTAATTGTTGTATTCTTGTTGCTCGCCAATTCGTACAAATTGATTTACAACGATTCAGTTTACAAGCAGCTGCTAAACTGGAGCAGCCCATTTCGAGTCTCAGGTGTGAGTTTTATTTGTTCAGAAATTGTTTTATGTTTTTCCTTTCGCCTTTCGGTGCCGGCAACTGGCAAGCCTCCCATTTACAAAGTTGCCTGGACTCTAATTCGACTGCGGTTCATAGAAGTCTGCTTGGCTTTCACTTTCAAAAAGCACGTATAAAAGAAAAAGAGTGCATTAGAAGGCAGTGCCTGACTAGCAAATACCCTGAATTTCGTACAGAGCAAGCAACTGTAATCCATGTATGTAAGAAAAAGCTATGTACCTGAATTTTAATTTAAAATGAGCAAATTTAATTTGATCATCATATCGATTTTAATCGGTTTCTAGAAAAAAGTTATCGATCATGTAAAACTAATTTGATTTGAGTGTGCTATAGACGTAAGTATCTTATACATGCGGATAGACGAACGGACGAACAGACGGACATATCAACAGCGACTACCGATCAATAATTTATATACTTTCCATCATGCTGTGCTTCCATCTGCCTGTTACATACACTTATAAGACAATGTTATACCCAATTTACCATATCCAGATTATCTTATAGTAGAAAAGCTGAAATCTGGCGCAGGGCAGGGCAGACCACTATGCAATTAAGCCACGCAATCAGAATGCAAGATGAAGGCTTTGCTCTTCAAACAATGGCGACCCTCGTTGACAAAATGGCGGCCGCAAGCTGCAAAGCCAACAAATGCGTTGCATAACAGACGTCGGCTGTTGTTGCTGTTGGACTACACTTTTAGGTGCTTGTTGGCTCTGTGCAGCCTGTTTTTGTTAGCTAAAAGCGCCCGAATGGCCCTGCATTGCCCTGGCAACTGTCAGATCCAAGCTGTCGAAATAATTGACTGGCCCGTGAAAACGTTTCAGTGCAAGCTGGAAATTTGGCAAAAATCCCTTGTTTCAGCTTGATTGATTTTCATTGTATGAAAAACGCTTTGATGTGATTAACAATATCATATTATATTGCTTAGAGTTCAATTTAAGGCCTAAGTCAATTTCATAGCGTAAATCCTATAATGTTTTAATAGTAATAATTTGAATGTTTTTATTATGGATATCTTTATTCTTATTATTGGTATTCTTATTCGATTTTTTATTGTCATTGTCATTGTCATTGTCATTGTCATTGTCATTGTCATCATATATCTTATAGGACCATCTATAAATTGCACTTCTTTGATTCTTAGAAATAAATAAATAAACTATGCTAACTAATATGCCCCGCGTCACTTTGTGAATAGTGTAAATATAATGAATGAAAGCATGCTAAATTCTAATGACGAGCTAAATTAAAGCTGCTTCGCTTGAACTATAAATAATTCTTACGATTACTCTGGTTATATTTCTATTCCCCGAAAGCCATTGCAATGAAAAGCTCTCTAATATTATTTGGTAAATCGAATTCTTATATTTTTACTAAGCCTAATATACATTTTCAATTTTACAGTCTTTGTACTGTGTTTACTTGTCATCGAAGGTAACGGTCATAGGAGTGGAAATACCCGAGGACGTACGCGAAGTCTTACGATTATGGAGGAAGGAGAGTTGAAAGAAGTGAAGGCGGAGAGCTATTGTTGTTTCTGGATAAATCAGGATCATCCCGCTCTGTCCGACTCAGTTAACCAAAATACAACTTATCCGTTCGATTTCGTACTGAATGGCATACGCTTGTTACATACAAGTACAGTATCAATGGAAAGTGATGAATAGTTGAATAAAAATTGAAATTAGCTTGTCTGTTGAGGTCTTCGAGGTTCTGGCAGCACATAATGAATTTGACACTCTATAATCAGGTTTCAGCAAACCTCCTTCATTAGCAGCACGTGCTGGCTGTGAGATGGGCGCGTCTGCAGATCTCCTGCAAAGATGTAAACGTCAAAACTTGAACTTTTGCTTATTTGGTCATCAAAGTTGAAGTTGCTGCTGGACAGCAGGAGCTCCTCAGGAGCTGCTTAGCAGTAGGGTATGCCTCTTGTCTTTTCATTTACTTAGTTAATTAAATTCCATTGCTTTGGGCATTGGGACAGCAATGGGCAGCAGCTACAGGATGTGTTCTCAGCATATCCTGTTTGCACAACGTATTTCTTCATATCGTAGTTAAATAGTCCAATTGCCAAAGTCTGTTTGCATTTAATCTGGATTTTTCTCATGCTGCATTCGTTTTTGCTTCAGCAGCATCAGCAGCAGCAGCTTTCAAGTCCCATTGCATAATTCAGCTGGCTGGAACTTGTGTAATTTGCTGCTTCAATGCTTAATGAAAATCCTTGAAAGAGATTTAAAATGTTCCTTCAGTTGTTTGGCACCTATTTGAGCAAATAATCTCCAGCTTCATATGTTGGACCCGTAAAATTGCATTTAACTCTCAAATGGAAGCTTTACTTGAGATGCACTCAAGGTCTGAATGTGTATGCGTATGTGTGTTTTGTGCTGACTGCAGATAATTTGCAATTGAACCGAATTGAAAATGGCTTTAGCAGAACGATATGTTTGGCAGAGCAATAACGATGTATATCGATAGCCATTATCATTTGCATAGCTCAGCTATCTGGCTAATGTTTTGCCATATAGTTTGCACAAGAATCACATTTAAAACAAATAAAATGATATTTAACAAATATGTGCCTATTAAAACCAAATAGTGCTTCATATTCGATTTCATAGGACATCCACTTGGATCCAGGAAGTAAACACAAAATATCGATCTTTATGAGCTGACTTACAATGTGAGTTGACAATAAATGTACCATTAAGTACAATAGGTACAGCGGTACCAAAACACATAGGTACGCCTGTACCAACAGTTGGGCTTAAAGTCAATATAACGATCAACAGTAAATGATTTATTAAACTTAGTAGCGTCATATTGGTAAATAATGTTATAGACCGTTTATATTTACATTTTTATGATTCTGTTTAGTATCAATCCACAAAAAAACTAAGTCTGCAAAATATTTTTTTTTTATTTTTAAAATTTAGTCAAGACAAAAGATTAGTCCAGACATAAACCACTTAACGCAACGCGAGCAAAATTGCGTTGCTATCGATATCAGTGAGCACTTATCGTGAGCAGAGCTGCTTAACGATCGAACAGCTGCTTTGTAGGCTTAGTTTCGCGCGCGAATTTCGGCGAATTGGTTTTTGTGTTGCAGTTGTGTGAAATAAACAATTGTTTTGTTTTTATATTTAAGTGAAATTAAGTGTTTGTGCCTGTTTGAATCATGTCTGTACTATTGGCAGACATAGATGCCACCTGCGCAGCGCTGGGTGTAAGCGATGGTAAACGCTACCAAGCGGAGCCCGATGCAGCCGAGGGTTTAAAGGTAAATTAATAAATACATTGACTTGAGGTGAATAAGAAGACAATTATATTGACGTACATTATTTCAGCACTTGATTTGGATATTGCGCCGCGATCTAGACAATCATGAGTATCGGCGACACTTGGGACGTGCCAAGGTGCTGCAAACGGATCTCGTCTATATGCTGCCCGACTATGTGCAGGACGAGGAGCTGTCGGATCTATTGATACGTCTGCTGGTTATATTGACCAATCCGACATTGTTGCTGTATCGCGATGGCCCGCCAAATGATAATCATGGCAGAAAAGTGTTTCTTGAACTGATTGACATATTGCAGGGCTATAAAGTAGCCTTTGCTAAGGATAAAATCTGGGCGGCCTTGTTTGAAAAGCTTAAACAAGCATTGGAAATTGTAAGTTAAAGAACTTGTGAGACTTGATATAACACTGTATATAAATCTGTATGTTAATAAGCTAAAGAACCTGTACTAACGGAAAAACAGCAAGAATTATGAACACTAGCGCGACAAACTCGAGCGATAGCTCCAACAGCGACAGCGACACAGAAGAAGACGATTCCTTTGATAATAGATATTACACCTGTTTGGTTTGCATGCGTACAGCTCGTCTGCCACGGGTCACCTTTTGCGGCCATGTCTTCTGCACCGACTGCATTGGGAAATGGATCACCTGGCAAGGCAGCTTTGCCAAGTGTCCTTACTGTCAGTCGCGCGTCGGCAGCAATACGTTGATCACTGTGAGCTATGGCCGGAACGGACATCATGCATACGGCCGGTTTACACGATGCAAGTCGATTGCCCAGCATCGTCACTTTGCGGAAACTATTGCTATGTATGCCGCGGTGCCGGAGACGTCTATGTATTTGGGCGCGTACATTGAACGGCCGCCGGAGCTGATGCCGCGCATCAAACCGCTGCCGGAGCAACTGTTGCGTGATGTGTCCAAGTGTCAAATACGACGAACCTTTGTCATTGCTCCCATCTATCAGCGCCTTCTAATAGTGGTCATAATCTTTTATATGTATATCGTGTATCTAGATGCAGACGGCGCAACCTAAGAGGAATTCAACAGCTTTTCTCGTGCCATTCATCTATCTAGTTGCGATTGTTATTTAAATAGAATTTCCTCCTAAAGAACCTGCTGCTGTTGCCTTTGATATGTCGTTGCTGTCATTGTTAATTATACCAGTTAAATGAGGCTCAGGCAATTAACGTTCTCTGGCATTTGCACAACTATTTCTCTGTTATCTTTTATAGACCCTCACGACGACGAGCCTTACTATAACAGCGGTCGGCGGAAAAACTTTTTTAATGGCTCCTGCAGCTGCCAGCAGCGGATGAAGTTAGAAAATATTTTGCAAATGCCAGATGCTTGGGGTATTAACAATATGTTAAACAGTAGGTGCTCTTTGTAGTAAATGTATATGAAATACGGTCTTGAGCAGTATCTTCTTTATAGCTAAATGATTACTGATCTGGTGGGTCTAAAATGTCTATATGATATAGCTCCTTGACAGTTTGTAGCTTAACTATGTTTTCTGGATATACCTGAAATTTTGGTTATCTATGTAATGGAATTTTTCCTTAGATCTAAATATTTAGTAAATGAAATATTTACGTCTGATATGAAAATTTATTATGCTTTTGTTAATTGATGCCAACATTCAATTATGAGGGTTTTATTCATATATGATCTAAATGTTTCTTTAGTCAAATATTTAGATCAAATATGAACAAATCTTTTATTATCAATATATCAATATTTTTTTAATTAAATAGGTCAAATCTTGTATAGAGTATAATAATTACTGACTGTTAGAGCATTACATATTCGGTTTGCATCACTTTTTGTTTTGGCTTGTGTTTCTGGCACTGAGGCTGACTTCTGGACTTCTTTCCCTGAGCTTGCTTTGTGTGTTTCATAACTAATTTGAACTTCATTTACTATCTGTTTTTCATCTATGGCTAAAAGCCATTCAGCTAGATATTTTTTCTGCTCTCTCTATCTCTCTCATAACCCTTGATAAGCAACAAGGCGAGTTTTTAAATTTAGCTGCCCTTTGAAGTTGGTTCGACAAAACGTGTTCAAAATGCGAAAATGTTCAAAATGAAATTTAATTTCGTTGCAAAATCATACGAAATCAAATCGACGCCGAAAACTTTTTAGCTTGACGCCAAAGCAAAACCGCAACAAGTCGAATTTAATAAACAGTCTTCGGCACAGAGAAGAAAATAACACAAAAAAGAAAAAAAATGAAAATAAGTGAAAAGGGAAATGCGTGAGGGAAAGCGCCAGCAGGCACCTTCAAATCAAACGCAACGAAATCTGTGGTTTTTCTAGGCGTCATCCACATGCTGACTGTCACAGTGGGTGCAAACCACAAACTCACAAATACCAGCAACAACAACTGCAAATTTCTGTTTACAATTTGTAGTATTTTGTGTGGATGAATATGTCTGAGCATGAAATGTTTTCAATTGCTAAATTGTTGCCAACAAAAAAAAAAAACGGAAAATAGAAATGAATACACAATGAATTTACCGAGAAAAAAAAGAAGAAAAGTAAGAATCAGCAAATGAAAAACTCCCACACATTTTAGCCAGCGGCTGGCCCTTAAGTAGACCCAGCAGATGGAAGATTGCGTTTAGACTTTTGTGTAAGAGAGAAAAAGGAAATAGAAAAATCATTTGACTTGCATCTTTAATGCCGAATAACAGAGGAGAAAAACTTTTCAGTCCAAGAACTTTTTAATTGACACTATAGAAGGAAAAATGCTCTTGGAAACTTAACTATACTTATTGCTTGATGAATTCTCAGAGTTTCTTTAGTTTTCTTTTAGTTTCTTCTTTTTCCGCTGCTAATAGTTGTAGCATATGTAAGTCGTTATGTATTTAGCAGGTATCCGATATTGTTTATTTATAGAGCACAAAAATTTGAAGAAAGCCTTAAGCTAGCTGTGCTGCTATGATCATATATTCTGGCTTCGGCTGTCCTGCCTTACAAGCCAACTGCCATTTGTTTCTCAGGAATTTGCTTAATTCTCGAAAGAAACTCGAAATGCCGTCAGGCAGATTAGTCGATTTCAATTTATATAAATTAAATAAAAAATTCAAAGTTGTCAAGAATCAAATAACAAGACTTCAGACACAAGAGAAACTGGCTTAAGAATATGAAAACAGATTGAGCAAATCAAATCACATTTTTATTTCCTTAGATTCTTTAATGTGGACTCTCTACTAATACGTATGTACATAAGTCTAACATTATCAACAGCTGAGTCAAGTTTTTAAATTATATTTAACTTTTTCTTGACCACACCAAAAGGTAGTCCTGGGCTAGAGAGAGATTCTAGAGAGTTTAAGAGGAGTTTTGTTATTTAGAAAAAATGAAATAGGTTGAAAACTATATTATAGCTGCATTATTTTATGTTGCACTGTTGGTCGCTTTAATGAGCGAAGCCTATTATTTAGAATTTTTAAATATCTTATAAATAGTTTCTCACGTTATAGTAGCATAGAGCAAAAGTGTTTTACTTATGTTTCTATACTCGATCGTTTGACATTCCTCAATGCTCCCCCGCAGTCCACTAAACATCGTCAGAGCAACACAACAATTTAACAATAAACATTATTGTTTATTAAAGTTCTCATTTCAAAACGTTTATAGATCTTTCTATAGATCTATATATCACACATGGCAATGGCTAGTTCTCTATAGAAATACATTTTTATAAGTCATATATGAGCTATATTGTTACAGGCAAATGGTCAGTAATACAACAATTGTTCTTATTCTCATATTTTTGGCATTTATAATAAACAAAACTGAAAAGTACAAATTTTGCCACTGGTCACTTAGCGACTTTCATTGGCAATTATCGAGCATTGATGGGGTTCAATTTTATTACTAACTGCACAAAAATGTTGCTGATGCTGTATAATCGTAGCTGCAACATGGCAACAAACACACATACGCACACACCGACACACTCTGGCACACACTCACACCCTTGGCCCTGCCCTTGTGCGCTGCTTGTGCGGGCAGAGCGAAATAAATTCATTTAAAGCCGATTGAATCGACATTCATAACACTCCGGGGAGCAATTCCAAAGGATTTTCATGGTGCTGCGCAGCCAGCGAAAGAGTCGCCAGAGGATTTCTTTAGATTTTTATACCCAAGTTCTTTTTTTCTCATTTTTTCTGTATTTTTTAGCGAATGTTTTTTTTTAGGTTAAATGCTAGCGAATTTCTGTCTCTGCAGCTGCCTGATCCAGTTCCAGTTGCTGTTGTTGTTGATAATGAATGTGTGGGTGGGTGGTTGGGTTGGTTTTGGTTTTGGTTTGGTTTGGATTTGACTGCCGTTGGCTGTTGGTTGCCCGGGCTGACTTTTTATGCTTTACTTCCTTATTTGCGTGGCTTCGACTTGCACGCTTTGATGTATGCGGCATGGTGTGGCAGTCAAGTGGACAGCCACGGGGCGACACGGAGACGTGGCCAGGGGCTTGCTGCTGTCGTTGTTGCGTAGGGTAACCGAAAGCGGAAGTCATTATTAACTTTGGCCTTTGTGTAAGGCGCTGGGTTGGAGCTTTTCGGTAGCTGTGTCCATGTAGACATGTAGGAACAGGAACAGGAGCAGGAGGAGGAGAAGGAGTCGCAGTCACAGCTGGCTTGTAGGCACAAAAGCCGCATTAGTTGTATTTATTTGTAAGTCAGCAGCAGTAACTGCCGCTGCCGCTGCCGCTGCCGCTGCTGCCGCTACTGTTCGTCGTCCGGACCGACGAAAATTGATTTCAACTTGACTTTGTTGTGGTAGCATCGCTTCGACTCGGCTGCGCTGCTGCTCATCTCGGGGCCCCCTATTTCGGGGCATCCGTTTTACAGTCGAGCTACATAAATTTGCAATTTAATTTAATTTAATTTCATTTGATTATTTTAAGTTGACTCGCGGGATTTGCTGCTTAGATTCTAACACTGGGATTTGCCGCAAGACATTCTTTTTATTATTTTGACTTTTAATGTGCGTCCCCCTCTCTTGCCTCTCTTGCCTCAACCGCAGGCCTTTGCCATACGCAGCGAGGAGCAGAATTTGTTGATTGAACGCATCCTGGTCCTGGTACGCAATGTGCTTCAAGTGCCGGCCAATCCGGAGGCCGAGTGTCGGGCGGATAACGATGCCAGTCTTCATGATCAGGTCATTTGGGCGCTGCATCAAACGGGCATGCTCGACCTGGTGCTCTTCATAGTCTCCTCGCCGGATGAGGAACAATTTCATTTGCACGGACTCGAAATCATTTGCCTACTCTATCGCGAGCAGGTGAGTCGCATTGGCCATTGCTTTTTGCATGCGCTGAGCTCTCTCCTCATTTGCAGAGCGCCGAATCCTTGGCGGATGCTTCGCTCCAGCGCAGCCTCAGCGAGAAGCAGCGAGATCAACAGGAACTGCTCGCCGCCCGTCGTCGCGAGAATGCTCGACGCCAGGCGCGCCCGCCGCCGGGTCGTCACTCACGCTTCGGCGGCACCTATGTCATACGTAACATGAAATCCGTATCGGATCGCGACATCATTTGCCATCAGCCGCTGCAGCGCGTCGCGGCCATGGACTTTGATCGCGAGAAGCAGGCGCAGAAGCGCTCGCATCGTCACATCAAAGAGGAGGCGCAGGTGACGCGACGTAGCGCATTTACTGTCAGGTAAAATATTATTAATTTATGTGTCTATCCTGTATCTATCTATATATATGTAGAAACATAAATATGGCTTTTAGAAGAAAGAAAATCAAATTAAAATTCTCAATTTTATTTCTTTGCTTTGTATCAATGAAAATTTTGGTAAAAATTTTAATTTTTTCTCAATCTGAAATATATAATAGTGTGGTGCTATTATTTATTTATTTATATCTTTAATTTACAATATAATTATTGATTTTAAAATGTCTATATTTTTAAATATTTAAAAATTAAGTTTTTAGTCTATAAAAAGTGAAATGTTAGTCTGCTCTCATAACATTAGCTTCTGACTAAATATCATCTAGCCTTACTATATTTAAGCACTGGCATAAAACCATTTCAGTTTCGCCTCATTTTTCACACTTGAAGATGAATGCAGTAAGAAAAAGTTAGCATCTTAACTTTTAAACTTTGCGCTTGGGTTTGTTTACCCGGTAAATCAATCAGGCAGTCAGTCACTGAGTCAGCAAAAAGAGTCTTCTGTGTGTGTGCATGTATTTGGATGAAGATTGGACAATATCTTGCACTTACTAGCCTCCATTTGTCTGCGGCAGCTTCCTGCACTTTAGCTGTTGCCTATTGTGCGCAGCTATGGATGTTGTCTGCCATTAGCATCGGAATTGTTATGGTTCGACTGGCAGGCCACATTCCGGTCATTGATTTTCGATTTTACGCTGCAGTCAGAGCCGAGCGAGCGCATAAAATAATATTCAATAATAAATGAAGGCATTTCCTTTTAGACAACTCGCACCCAATGGCTGCCTTTCCTTATAGAATCAGCCAAACGATATTGGCTGCTGGGCTGCTGGGCTGCCTGGCTTGTTGGCTTGCCTCGGCTCTGGTTGTGGCTGAGTGGGCTAAGCGAAACAAAGACGTGGCCATTTTCGAGGCGCCGGTTGGCCAACGTCTTTGCTATCGCCGTACTCCCTAATGGCTACCAGGTGCAGCTATTTTATGATTTTCTGTGAACCAACAAACTACTTAAAGGATATGCGCCAACGTTGCCAAGGATAACCGGAGTTGCTTGGGTTTCGGCTTCAGCAAAATGCATTTGCCATTATACTCTATTACACAGCAGAGTTGTTAAACTTGATTACCCGATTTGGCTAATAGATTTTAATTTAAATATTTAAATAAGGTTAAGCTTCCTTCCCTTCAAGTCTTTTTTGACAAAAAAAGCAAGAAAAATAATTATTTTTAATTAAGTCAACATAATTTATAGATGTATCAAGATAGTTACTTTTAATTACTGTTAAAAAATACTAAAGTTTTAATTAAATATTCAATCATAATTAGGTCGTTAATTACAGAGTAATTATTTAATAATTAAGTTATGGCTTTTAATAGTTATGAATTTAATTATCATTTAATTACTGAGAATTGAAATTAATTAAATTTTTCTAAATTAACAATTTTATTTATATGTACATTTAATTATCATATAATTACTTAGCAATTAAGTTCTGAAAATAGTAATTTAAGTATTTAACTGATTAATTTATTATATAATTATTTCTTACTATTTAAATAGTTACTAAAAAACCTAATTAAAGTAATTAAAAGTAATTATTAAGTAATTTCCCCTTTACCTGCCCTAGCAAACTTTACCATTCTTTAGAGCATCGTCACTTCGACTATTGTTAACTGCAGTTCGCAGTTGTTGTTGCGATTTGTCGTCCGGCAACCATAAAATGCCGAGCTAAGATAAAAATACAGCAATGGCAGCGTAATCTTGGTGGCGCCACAGCAACGACACCATCGAAGTAAAGCTCTGAGCTCTGCTGCCCATAGCAAATGTGCAAGCATTTTCCGCAATGTGGGCCAACACTTTTGCTTGTTAGCCTGGCCTAGCTGGCTGGCTGGCTGGCTAGCTAGCTGGCTGGCAGCTGACTTCTGCTGTTTGCTGGCCTGTTTTATGGCCCGTTCGTTGTTGGCAAATCCAAATCAGCTTGGTAGCCATAAATTGCAGCTCCGTCGGCGTGGCGGCGACTGTGATTAGACAACTCGCTGGCCAAAAGAGCCCCATCAATAAGTTGGCCACCGCAAAGAGATTGGCCATCTATGCATTTGGCCAGCATTTGATGCACTTGCCAAAGCACGTGCCCAAAGCAGCCGGCAAAGTTCATCAATGTCACGTGTCGACCCTCGACATGCAATAAGCAATAAGCCGCCAGGCGGCTACATTTTTTTGCCTTCACTATTTTTGCTTTTGTGTTTTTCTTTTCCTGCATTAATCTGCAACGACTGCGTTGCCTTTGGCCTGCGGCTGGCAGCTGCCTGCGCCTGAGCCTGAACTGCAGAGATTCGGAGATGAATGCTTCTGCTGGGAGCTGCCTCCTATCCGGCTTGCTTTACTTAAATAAATTGGCCTGCGAAAATTTATTGCATAAACGCTGCCAATTGCCGTTTGTTATGTACAAGGACTTGTCAATGCCGACACTGAAAAAAAATTAGCATCATTTGAATGAGACTCTAAAGTAAGTTTAATGCTGCCTGTGGTAGCTTTTTATAGCTTGATATATTGGTGTTTTGTGTTAAGTAGAGTTTAAAAATAAAAAAAAAAAGAATTTAATCAGATCAAAAATTCTAAAAATAAAATGAGATAAAGAATTAAAATAAATATAAAAAAATTAATAAAAATAATTGTAAAATTATTAATAATAAATAATTAAAATGAAAAATATATAGAAAATGGATATTTTATAAAAATAGAATCAATTTAAAATTAAAATTTTTTTTGTTTAAATATATAATTACATATATTACATTAAAAAAGATTTTGTCAAATATTTATAAAGACATCCGAAATTATAACTGTAAAAAATTTGAAAATTTATAATAATATTTAAGCTTAAAACATTTAGAATATTTTTAATTTTTTCTAAATTTCCGAATAGAGAAGAATATGATCAAACTATTAAACTACTTTAAGCTTTTTAAAAGATTTTTTTTAATATTCAAATTTTTGTTAAGTCCATTATGAATGAATGAATAGAAAAAAGCTGATTTTAAATTAAATGAGAACCAAATAGACTAGGCCAAGCAGGGCTAAGATTTGCTGTTACGTGTAGTCTATATAGTTGTATTTGTATGTGTATGTGTGGCACTGGCAGTGGCATTCAATCAATATTATTGTGGTATAATCATTTTTCATTCGATTCTCTGCTCTCTCACCGCTTTGCCAACTATCCATTGCAGATTGTGCCTGCGCGAATATTGCATTGAGGTGCTGCGCTCCGCTTACAATACGCTCGTGCGGCAGGTGCGACGTGTCCTGGAACGCAATGCCGGCTCGTCGAGTCACGATGACTCTTATCTATTGTGGGCCATACGATTTTTCATGGAGTTCAATCGTTTGAGTGGTCTACAATTGCAGCTAGTCAGGTAAGTGTGTGCGTGCGAGTGTGTGTGTGTGTGTGTTTGTGACTTACATTTGCCAATGTCAAACGCCAGCAAATATCTCGGTTACATATAAGCTGTGCCTGACTAAAGCGTTCAAATTAATTGCCAATGATTTTGATAATGCCCATAAACCAAAGACATGGACATTGTATGTAGAAGAGAGGGAGAGATAGTTCTGATGACTTTGATGAATGAGCCAAGCTGCATCCACTCTCTAATGAAAACCCAACCAACTGGTCAACTTCAAAACGTTCGCGTCAGCAAATATGCAAATCTTTTGGATGAACTTTCTATGGGTTGGCTTTTAATCAAATTACTTTGCACACACTTTGCCCTACATGCAGCTGATTTTTATTTGCTCGGGTCCAACTCAATTTATTATTTTCTAACACAGTTGCCCAACAATGAAAGTGTTGAGCTATAAACTGAAGCTGTTTTAGTCTGGAACAACTGAGAGGGTGGAACAAAATGAAGGACTTGCTCAACACATGGCTGGGAAGAAATTGCAGAAAGAGCGGGAGAAGAAGAGAAGGAGAGAGAATGGTAGAGGGAAAAGGGGACAGAGAGAGAGAGAGAGAGAGACAGTAAAAAGAGAGACAGTAATAGAGAGAGTAAAAGGAAGAGAGCGATAAAAAGAGTAAGAGAGAGAGAGACAGAAAGAGAGAGTAAAAGGGAGAAAGAGAGTAAAAAGAGGGTTTAAAAATAGAGATAGGAAGAGAAACAGAGAGAGAGAGGAATTGAGAAAGAAAAGGAAAGAGTGAGAGGAATATAGGTGTAGTACAAGAAAGCTCAAGGGATAGAATGATGGAGAAAGTGAGACACAAAAAAAGAGGTATATATAGAGATAGAGTAAGTGAGATACTGAAAAAGAAAGTGATATATAGAGATAGAGAAAAATATAGTTATAGAAAGTGATATATAAAGATATAGATATATATAAAGATATATAGATATATATATATATATAGAGAAAAGACAGAAAAATAGCGAGAGAAACGAGAGAGTTAGAGAGGAATATAATGAGTGTAGGAGGAAAAGAAGGAGAGCGAAAAATGGAGAAAGGGAAGAGTGTGAAATATGTAGAGATAAAAAAAAGAAATAGAGAGAAGCCTATATAATTTATATAACTAGTAAACATTTCATCTTTTAATTGTTCCCGAAAAATAATGTCACAGTATACAAAAATAACAGTGTTTTCTGAACCTGTACAAAGTTTGTTCAAAACGAACAGCACACGCAGCTTCCAGATTGAGTCACTCATATTACAGCCAAGCTGCTCAATCCCGTACGCTCAAGCTTTAAAATTTACTCAAGCTCAGCTTCTCAGCACACGAATCGGAATCAGATTTTTCAATTACTCAAAGTATAAATGGCAATATGCTTGGACTTCCGATAAATTGCCTAATAAATATTTTCCTAACCCACAGTTGGAAAAGCGAAAAGAATTTTAACATGTTGCAGTTTGTGGCCCCAAAACAATTTCCATGTGGCGCAATTCGCATTTCGATGAGAATCGAAATTGTTTCAGTTGAAGTAGAAGTTGAAAATTTGACATTGCTTTGGCCACAGAACAATTTTCCTGTCATTTTGTTGGATTACTTTGGGGGCGGACAAACAGAGAACAAGCGACAAGCAGAAATCAAAATCATGACGACAATCGCTGACCTATCACACTTTACAGCTGCGTGGGTGCTAACAAATGCCGCCCCTTACAATTCTTTACCCTCTTATATATATATATATATATATTTTATTTTTAGCTATATATGTGTTTAGTCTAATTGTCGCTTGAGTTTGAAGCATTTCGCTGGTCACTCGCCTTGGCTTTGGTTCATTGTTGTTGGGCACTTTATTGTTATACAGCTTTGCTGTTAATAAAATTTTGCTGTCATCTGCTCACTCTTTCACTCACTTGTTCGCTTTCTCTCTCTCTGGCTCGGCTGGCCAATGCTCGTGGTGCTGTGTGGTGGGAAATTTCTTTAAAATTGTTTTGGTTACTTTCAAATTAGTTTCTGAATGACAACAATGAAGCTTTGCAAAAATGTTGTCATTCCGTTGCTGCAAACTTTTCTCAACCCGCCTCAAAAAAAAAAAAAAAAAAGAAAACGAAGCAGCTAAAAGTACCGCCGCACTATTCAAAGTTTTTGCTGCTGCTATTTTTCATTTTTACCATTCCTTATACTGCTCTACGCCTGTATATGTATATAGCTGTATATATATACTATATGTTCTTGTCGGCCGCCTAAAACTTTCTGTTTATTTCCACAAATGCAATTTGCCGCTGCCGGCTGCGCGCTGCCTTAGCCAACTGAGTTTATCGTCTGTCATTTTCTACTGATTTTTCGCTATATATAAAAAGCACAGTGAATGACCGTTAAAGTGGCCAAAACTTGTGTGTACTCCCTCCACTCGCAACAACTACAGAAAAATAAGGAATTGCATTCATAATAAAAAGTGAAATCGAGTTTGCAGTTTTGTTTAGGCTTTGCCGCTGACCTCACATTTTCTGAAAAGTTTTTGTTGCCAAGAGTTTTCTTTTACGAAGCATAAACCATAAAATTATTGTGGGACAGCAACTTAGATTTATAGTGTTCTCGGATTATTTTAAATAGGTGTTTTTAGCTAATTTAGTTTAGTTTTACAGAATCTATTATATTTATAAAAATTTTATAAAAACTTTATACTGAAATATTTTTATTTAAATATTTTTTTATTCATCTTTTTTTAGCCTATCCATATGTTTAAAATAATCGATAGCTATTCCCCTTTTAATGTTATCGATTACAAACGTTATCGACTTTCAGTTATTAAACTATATATCGCACGTCCTTAGAGCTATATTCATTAAATTTTAGTCTTCGTTTTCTGTATATTTTATACATTTTTGCTTTTTAACATATTTAAAAAAAATTTAATTTAATTCAAATGAAGCTCAGTCGCACATATACCCAATATATGAAAGAGTTTGCATTTTTATTGAGCTCTCTAGAATATGTAGATCAAATGCTGAAAATTTCGTTGAAATTTGATATTCAACAAATAGTTTTGCTCTCTGTATATAGTTAGTTCTATTACACAAACTAAATTATAGACAGGAAAATTTATTTAGTTTGGCTGTGGAAAAACTGAAGTTGACATGCGCTTTATATGCATAATTAGCTTAGGCAATTAAGTTTGATTCTGATAAAGTTTGAATAGTGGAAAAAATAAAAATAAAATGCGCAGCTGTTGCCGAGTCTGCGATTGCTGCATTTGCGCCTTTTCATTTAACAATTTTATTGATTTTATAATTTATTTATTTGCTTTTAGTATGAGCTGAGCTGCAGCTGGCTGCTGTCGTCCACTGTAATTAATTTGATTTTAATGCCTTTTCGAGTGTTTGCCCGTCTTCTGCAATTGTGAACAAACTTTAATGACCGTCGCAGCAGACGTCGCGTTGCTAATTTTGCCAATTTGCAGGCAACTGCAGCCGCAACATTTGCAACAACATCGACAACAACAACAACATTATGCGGCTTGTGGCGACGCCCACTCGGGCTGCCACTCATTTTGCTGCGCTACTTAAAAATTAATTTTGTTAATGAGTTTTTCACGGTACTTCAACTTGCAACCGGCAACTGGCAACTAGAAACTGCCAGCCTGCAACGTGCAACAAGGCAAACTATTTACCTGCTTAGCTCTGATGGTGCTGCTGCTCTGTCCACTTCAATTCACAATTCGAATTCGTTGGGAGGACTTTAAGACAAGACCCCTTTGTTTTTCCCCATTTTATGTATTTTATTTACACATGAAACCCAACGACATTAACTTAAAGGGGTATATTAGTTGTGTGCCAGTGCATGTAACAGACAGAAGCTCGAGACAGCTGTCTAACTGTGGAGTTTGGCAAGTACTAAAGCTCTAAAGAGTTAAGTTTCTTAAATATATTGATTAATATTTAGATTTTCCTCTTAAAGTAGAGACATTAAATTGTGCATTCAGACTTTCCTTATAACTACTCTGTTTGCCTACCTGAAAAAAGTCTTAGGAACTACCTTGAACTATCTTCCATATGCACAAAGCTAGAATGGCTAAATTCCGTTCTTTGCTGGGCTTAGGCTATCAGCTAGTCAGCCACTCTCGACTAGCGTATTTGACTTTATTTCTTTTCTTTTATATATATATTATTTCTACCACATTTTGCAGTGAATCGCTGAGCGTGCAATGTTTCCACTGGGTACTGACACGCATGCAACATGACATGGACATGATTCTGTGCGACAAGAAGCAGGCGCGTCTCTGGGCCAAGCGACTGCATGTGGCCCTTTTGGTAAGTAAATGCTGTGCAAGCTAAGCTTCCATCTCGGTTGAGTGTGTAACTGTGTGTGTGTGTTGTTTGCCTTTGCTTATGTAAGTGCACTTTGCAAAATCTGAAACGCTTCTCTTGAATCAAGGCTTAAAGCTTAAGCCAACTCCAACTGGCAACTGGCAACTGGCAACTGCTTCTGCTACCTCCATGTAATCCCCATGTTGTGCCAATTGAAGCCGAAATCCTTGAATCTTAATAATATTTTATATAAGCTGCAGATTATAATGCACGCTTAACCCCTTACGAAATTTCTATTCTCTCTTCAAATATTTCCATATATTTTTCTATAAATAATAAATGAACATGGCAAGATTTTATGAAGTGCTTACAATGCTTAAATGTTGAAGAGTAGCAAATAAAGCCTTGTAGAAGAATTTATATTAATTTGATTGCTTCGACATACTAACAAGAAATTCGCGGATTTTGATAAGTATTTCTAGTTATGCTATGTTAGTAGTCAAGGAAGTCTGTCCGACCTATTGGAAAAAAGGATTACACAAGTTTTTGATCTGCTTTTTGATACTACTTATTAATTTGAAACTTCTTAAAGTTATGTTTGAAATCAAATAAATTTTCTTCATTAAACATTAATGCTTGCTATGACAGCTATATGATATAGTGATTCCCATTACCCTAGGTAATGTTCTAGATAGATATAATTATTATTTTCAAATGGCCTAAAAATGCTTTAGAACTGCATAAACTGAACTTTCTGCATTATTTTCGTCTGCATGTTACAAGAGCTGTCTTGGAAAGGGAGCCACTTCAATCGGGACCTTAATCACATTTCTTACGTTTCAAAAAACAAACTATGAAGCATCCAGAAAACACAGTATCGATTCATTTGATTGAGTTCTCCTGAAAAAATTGTCCTTAATATGTCAATCAAATTAAACGAAACATGAGCAAAGTCCCCACTGCATCTTTGACTATAGTTTTCTCTGATCTAGCTAAACAACACCTAATTTCTTACGAAGAAATAATCAAATGAGTCAATTCATGAAAAGCCTCAACCAAATTTGAAAGATGTGCAAAGGTCATCGCGCAATCTCTCAAACTCAAAACTAAGTTCCTTTCTTAATAATACATCTAAATGAAGCTAAATAGTCAAATGCGAAAGGTTTAAACACTGAAGAACAGTTGCCTACTGCTGGTTGATGATGATGATGACCTACAGTTAAATATGATGATAGAACAAAATAACTTATTAAAGTGTTTTAAACTATTCGAATTTTAAGGCTATTATTATATAAGCAAATGTGAAGAAATATTTTCTAATTGAAAAGCATAAGTGTAACATAAACTACAGTCAATAAAATAAATTGAAACCCCATACGCATAAGTGATAAATAAGTTATTAAATTAAGGACAGCATTGATCGAATAATTTCTTATTGAATCGAATTATTTGCGCTCAACTAATTGCAAATGCATTTCACACTTGCAGGCATGCTCCAAATGTCTTAAATGGTTGACAAACACATTAGTGCCCTAAGAATATCGATATATCTATATATATATATATATATTTATTTCTCACATATATTTTTTGTTTCTTAATTAAAGACATTCCGTGAATTGCTGCAGAGCTTGCTGGCACTGCAGAAGCTGAAGGATGATGGAAACGCGCGTGGACTGTTCGATATGTTATTGAACAATGTGTGCTATGTGCTGGAGTATAGGGAGACGATACTGCATTTGTTAATGAACTACAATGAGGCGCACAGCACAAAGTGAGTAACCAAGCACATAACTATCAATGAGCCCTTAAAACATATTGGAAATAACTTGAAAGGCATGCCAGCCAGCCGAGAGGCGTTAGCTGCCCATGCCTGATTGCTGCTGATGCTGCTGCATGTTTGATGGGAGATTGAACTGCCAGGATGGTCACAAATAACTAAGGCAAACACAGTCGCACTCACACAGAGATAGCAGGCGCTTAATAGGATTACCAAGTGGAGCTGCTGCTAAGCCGAAAATATGTATGCAGCTACTCACTGGCATTCGAAGCTGAGTGCTGGGCTAAAACCTTTCGACCCAATCGACAATCAGGCATTGTTTGTCTTGACGGCATGCCTTTGTCTTAAGTCTTGGCATGTTTGTTTGGCTATTTGCGCAGCTGTCTGTCCCTCTCTCTGTGTGTGTGTGTGTGCGTTGCTGTGTGCTTGCAGCTCTAACAACAGCAAGTGAACTAGTTGCGCTTTGAATTTCGGCAGCCAGCGAAAACTTTAATTGATTTTACAAGCATGTGCTGCACGCGTGCTCTGGCATTAAAATTATAGAATTTGCCAACTCACACAGTTGGGTGGGTGGGTTTTCTTGGTTGGTCGATGTGAGCGAGATTCTGGCACGCAGCACATGTTTTGTATACCCTGTACACTAGCAAATGGGGTGTGCTGTCTCTGCAGGTGTTAAGTAACTGGCCTAGGGGAGTCAACCTGGCTTGTTGCTGACTTGGTGTGTGCAACGAGTTCGCATGTTCATCTGTGACAAATATCGATAAATATCGATTATGATTAATTACTAAAATGCATATTTTTAAATGTGTTTAGCATAGCATAGCTGTAGAGATAGAGTTTTGAAGCTTGTAACTTTAAATAAACAACTATTTGATAGATTTATGTTCATAAGTTCAGCTTCGATAAATATCGATTATGGTAAAAAGTTCTTTTGCTGGTATACTTCTAAGTCTTTAGGTGTATGAGTCTATAATTCTAAAATTATATTATTATTATGTAAGATTATAACCTGATATGTTTCGATTTAGTGTCCGTTTGTTCCTTTTCGATAAATATCGATTTTATAACAATAACTTTATCAAGAGAAGAAATTTTCCAAGGACTTATAGAAAGGCACTGGCAAGAAGATCTCTATGAGGTATCTTATCTTTAGGTCATTCCTAAAATGCTCCCACAGTTGGGATTCCTACCAGGGCTGCATTTCAATTAGCAAGTTCTTAGCTGGCAGCAGGTAGGATCTACCCCATAACTGATTTACATAGCTACTTACACACGCAGTGGGCATGCACTGCGCTCGCACTACGCTCATTAACACAGCACACGGTAGCTGCCAGTTGGTTAGGTATGTTGCGCCACTAAATAACTCAACTGTGGATCGGGGCAGGACAGCTTCTAGCATCTAGTTGTAGACCGAATGCGTGCCAGCACTTTCAATTGCCATTAAGTTGTGACGAAATTCTCGTAGTTTTTGTTTTTGTTTTTGCCCCCAAACTAATCCATTCCATTTAGATAATTGCAATTTTTCGCTTCTGCGGCATGTGTGAGTTTTTGGAGCAAAGCGTTTTCCACTTGCACATTTCTAAGCGGATGCACAAATTTGTCTGTCAAACAAACTGGCGCAGTCTGCCGATCTGATCCACCTGCGATAAATGACTGGAAAGTGTGTTTTTGTGTCACACACAGTCAACGACTGCAAATCGAACTAAAACAAATGCAAAACTCTACCATGGGAAATCAGCACAGTTATTCATCAAATCGAACCGGCTAAACCCTCCGCTCACCTTTTCAATACTTCTACAGCAAATCCAAAGACTACGCAATCGTCAACTCTCCTGTGAGTTTCAGCTGTATTAGATATTAATATTAGTTTGCTCTCGACTTAACTCTCGTTGGAGCATTTCATATTCAACATATATTTGTATTTATAACTTATGCTTCTCGTACATTGAATTGGCAAATATAACAAAGGCCAACTGGATTAAGTAACCAGAAATTAAAACTTTAATTTTTCAGAAGTTTTGCAATAGATTGTTACAGCACTTGATAGTTTAATCGAATTTTAAATATTTTTTTTTAATTTTAATATGAGTTTGAAAAGGCATTTCTTGACAATTTATTTATTTTCTAGTCAAAAGACCTCGAAATTTTGGTATAATATAATTCAGACAATTCTGAACTTATGCTTTTCTTTAAACTCGGCTTACCTAGCTGGTCTAAATTTTAAAGACAGATCTGTCGCGTCTTCACACATCATTCGTAAACTGTGCACTGGCATTGCCTTGCATGGAAGCATATATCTTTTCAAAGAGTTAAAACAACCGAAGTATTTAAAAATAATCAGCATCTGCTTAGCTCGTTCCACTGTGCGCTCTGCACACTCAAATTGCTGGCAATCTATTGGCCATGGTAGTTTGGGTTCAATGAGTCAGTCTCGATGAAGAGCTGGTTATAGATACAGACAGATATTAGATGGATTGCAATGCAGTCGGAACGCTCAAAAGCTCTGACTAAATTAATTTAGCGCGCAAACAGGAAATTGACAGCGCGCGGCAATAGAGAAAATGCAGTTGCGAAATGCACGACGCAACAAGGACGAATGTGCTGTGCGTGGAAGGAGATAAGAAATATACTGCTATATATATATACTAAATTTGTCAATGTTAAAGTTCACAAATTAGTGCATTAAATATTTAAAAATGTTACTACGTCTGCGACATATCAAATTGAACTATTTTTGGTAAATTAGTTTGTTTTGCTACTGTTAGGAAAACAGCGAGGATAATTGGGAAACTAACTCTATATAATAAAACGAGTAAGAAGTGAGATAGCTTAACTCAGCACTGGCTAACTGGAAAATGCTTTGATAGCCGCGCCGAGCAACTGCTTTTGCCATATTAATATGAATCTGTGATAGTATTAAAAAAGTTGAAAACTTCTTAAGGGAATCTTGACACTTAAATGCATAAGTAAAGCTCTAAAATGGCATAAGCTAGAAATCGATTTTGATCGATTTTTGGATGGATTAGTTGATTATTTTTACAAACCTTAAGGAAGTCCTACCTATTTCTAGGGCTTATATAGAAGGGATAAAAAGAGAAGAGAAGTGAAAAGAAGAGATGTGAAGAGAAGAGATTGGAAGTAAAATTTAAATCGATAATTCTCGATTTGTTAAAGATTAGTCGATAATTTGTACAAACTTATGGTAAAATCTAAATCGATAATTCTCGATTTGTTAAAGATTAGTCTATAATTTGTACAAACTTATAAGAAGTCCTACGTCTTTCTAGCGTTTATAGAGAACAGATTTAGGAAAGAAGAGAAAAGGGAAGTGAAGGGAAAATAGATGTGAATAGAAGGGAGAGTATGTTAAATCTCAATCGATTTTTATCGATTTTTGGAAGTTTAGTCAATAATTTTTACAAGCTTATACGAAGTTCTACCAGAAAACAGGAGAGAAGGAAAAAGAAGTGATGGGATCATGAGAGTAAGGAGGTTAAATAACATACGGTTAAGAACAAAACATTCCTAGTGCTAAGTAAGTCCCACCTGTTAACTGCGGACTACAATTTGATTCAATAGATAATTGTAGGGTATCTGAGTGTCGTATTCGAGTATCAATGAACTGATATGGATTGAAGCGTTAATGTTAACACTTAAAACAGTTGCACTTGCAGCTGTCAAAAATTAGATGGATCGATTAAATATTAAGTTGCAAATTATGCAAATCTATTTTGGAGATTGCATTCAATTAATCTTTGCAATTAGCGATAAAAGCAAGGGCCGTTGCCTTTTTGAGCTGCAATCAGAGCAATTTGAGTGCTTGAGAGAAATTGAAGCCTTTCGGCATTCGCATGAATTATTTATGAGCTGAAGCACATTTACAAACTGGGAGCCAAAAGTGGGTCGGCTCTTCAGCTCTGCTCGTCTGCAATCAGCGCCCATCACTCATTGTTGAGTGTTTGTTGTTGTTGTTGTTGCTGTTGCTGTTGCTGTCATAATTAATAATATTTTCATTATAAACGTCTTATGGCAAGGAGCAGCGAGCTCGCTAACCATTTGCCCTGCGACTGAGCGCAATTACATTTTATCATTTATTCAACATGCGCTCAGACCTGGCCCCAATGAACAAAGCCACACCCAAACACAGCGCCACGCCCCCTTCCTTCCATAGCGCCCACCCAAACCACTGTTTGCGACCCAAGTCTTCTAATTAATTCTATGCGCTGCCCAACATTGATGTCAGCTCCTGTTGTTGTTGTTGTTGTTGTCGTTGTCCATTTAATCAGCGTAAACGCGAATATCAAATCAAGCATGGCCAGTTACAGCAGCAGCAGCAGCAGTGGCAGCATCAGTAGCAGTGGCATTAGCAGCAGCAGCATTAGCAGCAGCTCACAGCAGCAACAAGCCGCGTGCATAACAAATTAATTATAAATAATTTATTAACGATTTATCTTTGTCTCATTTGGCAACACATGAGTTTGAGCTTTGCTGCAATTGTGTGCATGAGTGTGTGCGTGTGTGAGTGAGTGAGTGTGTGTGTTATTGGAGTGGCATGATTGTCGCATCGCTGCGTTTTAGTTGAAATCGATTTGTTGCCTGGTGTAAAATGGTTTGGTGTGGCATGCAATTTGTTATGTCACCTCACATACATCTACACATATATATATATACATATATATATATTTACATACACACACACACAACAGCATACGCACACAGCATCGAGCACACCCACATTCCACAAACTGCGGTTGCTTGGCTTTGCGGTCAACAAATAGCAGTAGTTGCACGTGCCACCAGTCCGCCATGCCCATGCAACTAGCTCGGGGCACAGTTATACAGGTGTCATCAGCATGATAACTGTGAATATATTGATAGAGAGCATGCCTAAGGATTATTTGAGTTTAATAATTACGAATGTGCTTATGATTGAGTTGGGCCTGAAAGCCGAATAGCTTAATCTAGTCTAATCTAGTCCTTGAAAGTATGCCACTCGGAATAAATCAATCTTGTAAACAAGGCTTACCAATCTATTATTCCAATGAATAAATATAAAGATATCGATAATTATCGATAGTGGTAATTTAACTTACTGTTATCTTACTGAGTATTTATTTCAGGTATATCATCTGCTAATTGCTTGGCATTCATTCCATAATAATTATACTATCTCGATAACTCACATTCAATCTACAGCTCTCTTAATTATTAAATATTTATTGTTCAAATGAAAGCTACTTTTATCTTAATGAGTGCCAAATTTCACGTATGCTATCTTATAAATTGATAACATTTTTCTAAACGATAAATGCCAATAAATCGATAATTATCGATAACTCAAATGTAATCGATTGCTCTATTAATGATCGCATGTCTCATGTATGGCGTCTGATAAATGTGCTTGTAGTTCAAAACGATGCATAACAATATATCGATAATTATCGGTAATCCAAATGCACTCTACTATTCCCCTAATGAGTTGTAGCTTTCACGTATCTCATTAATTTCAATATATAAACATGGGGCGTCCATTTTCATGCTCTACTTGCCATTGGCTGCAACTTGCCACTTGCGGCGGCCATTGACAGTGTTGTGGTAGGCGCAGCGATTCCTGCGGATCGATTATATGCTATGTGAGTTATAATCAACGGAACATTCAATGCAATTTGTTGCTTTCAATTTACAACACAAATAGACGCTATCTGCCATAGCCAAAGGCTGCAAATTATCAGCAAATTGCAGGCGTTACCTATGATCCAAAGGGGAATGCCCAAAAAATGAAATGTTTTCAATTTAAAAGCGAAATCATGTTAACCGAATGAAAACTTTAAGTAAATAAAGGCTAACGAATAAGGACTGCTAGACGGGACTATGCCCTGTAAGAAATGTTGGCAGTAATTCCATTTTGATAACAGCTTTAGCTGCACTTAATATGTTAAGCATTGATAGTAACAGCTAACATAATATTGTTTTTATTTATAGGGTATTATTCAATTAGTTTTAATTTAGTCATACACTTGCAGTGTTCAAGTGCCAAATCTTTGATATATTTGACTTAGCTAATTGGCTAAATATTCGCTAAGTTTTACATTGAATTCAAGCTTATCTAACACGACCTATGGATGATGTAGTGTGGTCGTTGTGTGTGTGTGTGTGTGCTGACAACCAATTTCATTACAAATGCATTTCCCTTGACACAAGCTGCGAGGCTCGTCCTGTGGCATATTGACCGCATTTTGGATTATTCTGCGAGCTTCTGGCAGGGTCTATTTAAATTCGCAATGAATTTGCATAAATTTTTCAAACAAGTAGCGCTGTCCTGCTAATACCCTATAAATTGTTAATTAGATATAGATTGGCCAACACAAATAATCAATTTAAGTGTATCGAAATAGATAACAAAATCAAAGCTTCAGATCAATACAAAACAAAGGTTACTTTTAAAGAGCTCTTAAGTTGGGAAGACAGAGTAGAGCTGAGCTTAGTACATTACGCAGTTCTATTTTTACTAGTTATATGTGTTATATTTGCAAGTTGGCCCGCACGAATCGATCAGGTCTAGCAATTAGTGTGTGCGCCAAAGGACCTCGTGCACAAGGATATGCCCGCAGATATGCAAATATTGCGAAATCATGTTCGAGGCGAATTTTAACAATAGCCGCGCATTCAACGCATTTATACGATAATTTTTTTTTATGTCGGTTGGCAATTTGGCAATTTGAATACCCTGCAGCGCATTGGCTTGAAAGAGCTCTTGAATTGGCTTATATATTATTTAGTAGATTGCTGCGAAAGCAAATTGCATTTAGAGTTTGTGAGTTGTGAGTTTCATAGGGACGATAAGTTGCTATTGGCTAATAAACGATGCCCAACTCGATGAGTCAAGTTGATTATCGATTGCTTGCACTTAAGATATTTTTAAGTATGAAAAGCATTCGAAAATACTATCGATATCGATACTACTTAATCGACAATGATACAATTGATTTTTGCAAGTGAAGAATGTTCAATGAACATTCGATTAATGTTATCGATAAGACTATTGTGATAGTCAGACGTAATATTTTTAGCTGGAATTAGAAGGTGTTAGTTCTAGCTATTTATATATGAGTCAAGTGGACTTTCATGGCTGTCAATTAAATTTATTCCTTTGAGACTATATTACTTACTTATTTAGACGCTACTATCAAGATGGTTATCGATAAACCTGTATCAAAAATGCTGAAAATTGTTGACAATCGAAAGGATTATTCCATGCTAACGATTTTACTTACTATATATAATTTGGCAATCGAATATACTATCGATATTTATCGATATCTATATGCACGTAGAACGCTACTTCATGGCAATACTTCTATATGCAAATCAGTCTGTTCTTTGTAAGTTTATGTAACTGAATGGGCATTCCCTGGTCTATCATTAAAACGTATTCAGCCTTTAGCCTTGTTTGCATTGTCGTTTTCTGTGACGCGCACGATTTTCATTATTCAAACGGCAATCAATCATTTTAACAAATTGACGTGCACAATGACGTTAGCTTTTTATTCAGTAAATTTGTTTTCTGTTTTTTATTTTTGGTTTTGGCTAAAAACAATGCTAAACTTTTGCCCATTGCTGGCTATGCGGCAGCTGATTTTGGCATTTTGTTGCCTTTCACAGCTCTTTTTATATCCTGATCCCATTAAAAATGGGAAATCAGGGTATAATGGTTTTGTGCAAATGTATGTAACAGGCAGAAGGAGGCGTGGCAGACCCCATAAAGTATATATATTCTTGATCAGGACGACAAGCCGAGTCGATTGAGCCCTGTCCGTCTGTCTGTCCGTCCGTCTGTCCGTCTGTCCGTCTGTCCGTCTGTCCGTATGTGTGAACGCGTGGATCTCAGCATCTATAAGAGCTAGAGACTTGAAATTTTTTTTGTAGGTCCGTGTATAGCACGCGCAGGTCAAGTTTGTTTCAAATATTCGATAACTATTCGCATTTAATTGTTATCGAATAAAAACATTATTGAAATGCAGTAAATAAATTATATCTCGAACGTCTTAAGAGCTAGAGCCTCCAAATTTTGTATTTAGTCTTATATATATTTTATGCAATTTTGATTTTTGTTGGATTTTGGATACCGGCTCCAAATTCCCCCAAATTCTTAGAATTTAAGTTTAGTTGGAAATAGGGCCATTATGTGAAGGCGTTTGCATCTCAACCAAGCCAATAGGATATGTAGATCATATGCTGAAAATTTCATTAAAATCCATTAAGTAAAACAGAAGTTATTAAACAAAACGTTTGGCCAATTTCCAAAAGCACATGTCAGCAGCGCCACGCGCACGCATTTTTCCTATGCGTGTGCACACATACATTCAAATGCGTGTATTCTTTTCTATTCCAAGAATTGAAATTGCGATTGAATTGTGCTGAATTATTAGCTGCTACTTATGTTCAAATTTGCAACAGCCCGTGCAAGAAGGACAGTGGCTGCGTTGGTAGAGGCCCCGCTCGTATGCAGCTTGGTCCGGGTTCGAGACCGGAGGAGATGAAATGTTTTTTACTGTTTTATTTTTTTTTTTTTTTAGTTATGAAGTGGCGGTGTTGGTAGAGTTTGTGCACGTTGCGCAAATAATCCGGGTTCGAATCCTGGTCTCGCAATGTCGATTTTTATTTGTTTTCTCTTTTTTTTTAATACTCGATACAAACTACGGAAAATATTACAAAACTCAAAGGACTGGGATCAGGGTATCTCCTAGTCGGGCACCCCGACTAGAGCTTTCTTACTTGTTTCTCCTGATTTTGCTGCCTCCTCGCAAGTTCCCTTTTAAGGTTAATTTGCTAATTGGAGGCGTCATCGGCATTGACAGGGCCAAAGGCAACGACTTCAGCCACATCATCAGTCAACGACATCCTTTGAATTGAGTTGGGCTAGTTAAGTTAGGCAAAAGGTTGGCCGGGGCTCAAAAACGTGGCTGTTTTAATGTGCTCGATGATTTTCAATAAATATCGAGACCCAAGGAGAGAAAGAGAGAGACAGTGAGGGTGTTTGAGTGAGAGAGAAGCTGCTGTATATAGAATTTCTTCCTTGGTTGGGTTAGCTTTGACTTTAAGCTGATTTGTGGTAACAGACGCGCTTAATTAAGTTCATAAAGCTATTATTTGTAATATTGTTGAGTGTATTTTTAGGAGAAGTTACCTTATGTGCCTATAGGTAATATTTAGAACTTCTTTATTTATTATAAATTGAATTGAATTTATTGAAATAGAAAGAACGAATAACTTTTAAAATCTGCATTGGGAAGTTAAATTGTTTATTATTTGCAAATTGATTCGTGGCATGTCAACATTTTGCTGTAGTTGCTGTCGTTGTTGTGTTGCAATAGAAACAAGATAAAATATTGTTGTGCATATAAAATGCAATTGGCTTATTTAATTGAATTTCCAACATGTGTGGTCGCAGACATAAATATATGTACTTCTACATATGTATATGTGTATATTTTATATAGTTTTTTAATTTAATTAATGCATGTGTATGCAATAATATGATTTAGTAACCAACCAATCTGTGCTCTTGTCCACAGGGTATTCCTGCGCGACGTTGTGGATACGGCAAATGTGTTTATTAAAATGATGGAGCGCTTCTGTCAGGATGCAGTCGTTGTGCAGGACAAAAAGCGCGGGGCAGCTGGCAAAAAGAAGAAGAAGACGCAACAGCCGGCCAAGCCTTCCCAACAGCCAACAGAGGTGAGTCGAAAGTCTATGAAAATTGAATTCTTCTTTAATGCTTATAAATAAATTGCTGCATTAAATGACATTATTTGGCTTGCGGGTGCTGTCTGCTGGCTGATGGCTGCTGGTTGGCCCGCTGTGTGCGCCATAAAATATTCTCTAAATTGCCAATAAAATTTAAAACAAATAGCGCCAAGAGCTGCAAAAGCGACCAGCAACTGGGGTCAAAAAACAATTGTCGTCTAGCATAAAGAGGGGCAGGCAGTGCGAGCCAGATTTATAGGTTTGATCATGAAATTTAATTGACTGAAAATATGGTTAAAAGTGAAATAAAATAAAGTTGCGATAACGCGACTGCTGCTTGCATTTAATTGTTGGCTTCGCCTCTATTTATTTATGTTCTAGTCACTTCGCCTATTTATTATGGCGCGTGCTTTATACACAGTCCAATTGACATTAATCTTCCGTGCATTGGATTCCAAAATATTTCCAAGTCAATTAAAGTTTACAAACTTTTGCACAGTACATTAAAAATAAGTTAGAAATGCGTTACTTCAGGTTGGCATAACTTTTCTAAAAACGGACTTTTATAATTAAATATTTTATTTTATATTTTTCTTTATGCTTAGTCTGCAATATTAGCTACGCATTCAGATTTAATTTAAACTTAAAAATGTTTTTAAATTAAAAATATTTTTTTTTAATTTATCGAACATATTATGTATTTGTTTGGAAATCAAATTATATTAAAATAAATGCATTTAATGCAATATTAAGTCGATCTAATTGCAATTTAAGTTTCTTGTCTAGAACCACTGATATTTTTATTTGTAAAGATTTCAAAGTTCCAGAACTTTGACAAAACTAAAACTTCAAAATAAATATAATATTAAATTTGATCATTAACTACTCTGAAAAGGCTCGCTCAGAACTACAGGATTACAATTGGAGTTTTAATATTTTTATATATGTATAAATATAATATATGCCATGTATTTATTAAATTATTTATAATTTTTAATTGGATTTATAATTGATTCAACGCCTGCAAAACTCTTAGACTATTTAGTAAGTTGCCAAAGAATTCATGCTTTAAAACCTTTCCCAAGAACGTTTTTTATTATGTGTTGCTGTTATGGCTGCTCATATTTTGTTTTTCTTGCATGCATAATAAACTCTGTTTCTCCCATGGTTTTTATATTTATTTTTTTTGTAATGTTTTTTAAACACTTTGACGCGTTGCAAGCACCGTCGAGCGTGATTTCCGGCCAGAGCCAACACTTGGCTGTTTTTCTACAATCCCCATGCATCAAGCCCACTCCAGTTGGCCCATGGCTTACATTGTGCGGTTCTGTTGCCGCCATTTTGTGTGGTTCGAACGGTGCAGACGGACGGGCTTTAGTTTACCATTTTTTTGCACAAAACTGAAAAAAGAGAAAACATCAATTGTGCTAATTTCTGACATATTTATTTGTACGGTCGATGCCAGCTTTTTCTTGTGCCTTGTAACAATTGTTGTGCGCGCACACACACATATTTTGTGCGTCAATTAATTTGTGAAATGCGTGTGCGTGCGTGTGTGTGTGCGTGTGTGCATGTGACATTTGTTAAAGCTACCAACAAACAAGTTAAACGCACGAATTCACAAATATTTAACAGCTTTTGTCCGCGCTACTTTCTATAAATGTTGTTAAAATATCATAAAAAAGCCAAAACAAGAGAAAAACAAGTGAAATAAAATAAATAAAATTTATATGTTTAAAACAATGGCATTTATGTGCGAATAAATGTGTGTAAAATAAATGGAAATCTCTCAGTTGGCTTTGCGCATTTACATATGTTATATATTTATACATATATATAAATATTATATGTATATAAATGGGATTACAATTTGAAAATATGCGAATAGCCTCGCTATCGATAGCGCATACATTGTTAACATGCTCGATAAGAACATGTGAACAAACAGGGCCACAAATATTGTCAAGCAGCTTTGACAATAGCAAAAAAAGTATTTTGCGCTCATATAAAGAATTATGATGTGTGAATATTGGAATATGCAAATAAATATGCTATAATTAAACAAATATAGAATATTTGAACAAATGATATAAATATAATAATTGCACCTGCACAGTCGCTGCAAAAAGCATTTTATGTTAACTTGTCCTGATTTGCATTATTTTTAGAGGGTATCTAGCAGTTCAGCTCACTGTTCTTAGCTGCTTAAATTTTGCATTTATCACATTTTTATTGTAATTGAATTCTTTTTTTATAATATCTATAATGTTTTGCGTTAAAACGGCTGTTAAAACGGGTTTTTACACATTTTATTTGGCTTTTTTTGCAAAGAAACAAAAAGTCAAGCGTATTTTTTGGCTCCACATTGATAAAGTCAACTATTATAAATATATAATAACTATTATAAATATATAATTAATAACAAATAAGAGATTAAAAAACCGGATTTATCTGTGATATAACTTTGTCTAAACCGGGTTAAAATATAGAAAAATACGATGTGGGAAGAGGTCATTCAAAAAACCAATCAATTGAATGAAACAGTTTATTAATTGCATTTTGTAATATATGCATTTAAAATGATTTAGTTAGTTATATTTATGAGAAATTACATCAAAAGAAAACCTAAAGTGGCTTAAGCAAATCTATTTAGGAAATATATAATCAAAATATAGAAACCATCAAATAGATATACTTTGTATATAGCCATATACCTTATATATAGACATATAAAGAGTGCTTTTTTTAGATGTTCACAACTCTGAGTTGACAACACTGCTTTATATGGCAACTCATTTAACAGCTAATAGTTGCCTTTTGTTTAGTACTTCATTATGCATAGACTTACGCCAGGGCAATGCTTGCAAATTGTTAAAACTTGCATCAAAAATAGCGTTCTGTTCGTCAAATTTATCGCGCACTTCGTCCATTTGATGCAGCGGCTAATAAGAATAAAAATGGATCGTGTTCGGACCACGCACATGTAAAGTAAGTTGCCTGAGGCACAGTCAGTTGAGCACCAGGAAAACAATATTTGCAGAGTTATTGGCAACAAATGCTGTGAAAAGCTTGTGAAAATTATTGATGCAAAAAATTATCATGCATGCGTCAGTTGTGTCGGCCACTTGGCTGAAATCATATGTAAACAATAATGCCATAAAAGTCGGTTTGGTATTAAACTTATATTTATTTGATATATTAAGCTTTAAAGTTATGTAACTTTAAAACGATATTTTCTTTGCATTTGTTTGCAATTTATAGAGAGATGTCAAATTGTGAATTTAGACTGCTCCATCTGTCTCATTAAAATGCTATTTTATATATGTAAACTAATGCTTTCTCAGTTAAATCTAAGACTTTTAGATTTTTCATATACATAACTTAAATGTCAACTCGAATTTCTTACTTTAACAGGAAGAGCTGGCTACCAAATGGGCTGAAATGGCATCGGAGGTCAGTTTGCTGCTTGCCACGGAGCTGCAGTTGCCGGAGGAGCAGCAGCCGCTGCCCTTTGATGCCACCTTGGAGAAGTCCATCGAAGATCAACGGTGAGTTAGCATTAATATACGAGTAGATATTTATAGAGATGCCTTTTTAAAATGCAATATATATCCTTTTTATACTTGCAGCGAGGACTGCATGATGCGCATAAATAAATTGCTGCGCAACGCTAAATTGGAGTCGGCGATTGCCCTGCTGCGTGCTGCCAGGTGAGTGTCCTTACCTTGCAGTTCGTGTCCTTCAAAATGAGCAACAACCTGCTGCCGTAATCCTTTGGAAAATTTCTACCTTTAATAACTTGACATTGACTGTTGGCCATTGTGCGTCAGCGCTAGCAGAGCACAAAAGAAAATTCGCATAATAAATTAAGTCGGGTAAAAGAAAATGTGGGTAGCTGCCTCTCTGGGTCTTTGTTGTGCTTATTTTTGGCAGAGCTTTTCCTGTTTTCTTATTTTTTTATGCGAATTTCATATTTTGTGCAGCGATTTTCTGGCACAAACTGTCCTTGTTCTCTCTCTTTCTGTTGTGCTTAAATTAAATAGTTTTCATTTATTGTTAAGGTAGCCGCGCAGCGGGGGCTCAACTGTCCAGATGGCTTTGGTTGCCCTGACAGATAATAGCAGCGCACAGAATTCGTTGTCCTTCTGCTTCAGCTCTTGCTGCTCCTGGTGCTGCTGTTTCTGCTCCTCATTATGTGCCATCAACTGTGTCAGTGGCTTTGCTTTCCTGCTGTTGAGTTCAAGGCGAGCAGCCTTTCGATTTAATTGCCAGTTCAATTATGTTAAGCCTCCTTCGCACTCTCCCAGTCTCCATCAGTGTTTATTATTTGTGCTGGGAAAATTACGTGAAAATAAATAATTTACCATCTTTCGCGTCAACATTTTAACTGTGTTTATCCTCCCTTTCCGCCCACAGAGGCATACAAGATGAGACCTGTCCACGCTGTCAAAGGCTGTTGTCGTCGTAGACGTCTGACAGCAGCTATCGAAATGTAGCTTAAATATTTCCAAGTCATTTATTTATCAAATATCATTAAAACTTTCCACCTGCTGCACGCCAAGGATTACATTTCCAAAATCATGCTGTTTCAAACATCGCAATTGTTGAAAATGCTGTAAGCGTCCAATTAGATAGCTACAATTATGGCGTTGCTAATTGAATACCCTGTAACTACGAAAGGTTTAGATGCTAATGTAAAGGAAAATATAAATAATAGCAAATATATAATATGAATCGATAGATTAGATTTACAATCGATATATATCATTAATCGAATTCTATTCTAGGTATGCTCATCTCAAGTATCATACATATATAAATGTTTGTTTTCCATTTTTTCCTAAATTTGAAAGTTCGATTAATCTCGATAAATATCGGTTTTTAATTTTTTTTCTTTTGTTCGCTATTTTATATGCTCAACACTAAAATATTGCTAAGCTACTTACATTGTATTCAGCTAGCATAGTAAATGTCTGATTATCTTATCGATATACGTAGCTAAAATTTCGATTAAAATCGATAAATGTCGATTATTAATTTTCTGCACATCTAGTTCATTCCCACTTAAGGCAACATTAAGGCAATATCATGCATAAATAAAGTTTCGTTTTCATTCTCTTCCACATTTTAAAATCCGCTCAATATCGAAATTGATCGATTTTTAATTTTCGGCATATCTAGCTCATTCTTTACTTAATTACTGATTTTCTTTTCTTCCTTCCATATAATCATCACTAATTATTTCTAAGCTGATTACAGGGTATTTAACTAGTCTGGCAACTGTCTTGATTACCAATTGATGTGCCAACGCACTGGCTTGAATTTCAAAGTATTGAAACGGAACAATAGAATTAAAGATTCTCTTGATTGCCTGGCCATTTGCATTGTCATGTGCTTTACATGGCGTATACGCAATTTTGCCATTGTAATGCTTCATTTAAATTTATGTGCATTTTAATTGTTGCCAAAGAAATTGTTGCATTAAAATGTATGAAGCGGCAGTTGTTGCTGCTGCCTTTGCTACCACTGCAGCAGCTTAAAAAGGTCTAGACGCTTTTTGTGCTAATAAATTAAAATGCGATATGCATAGACCCTGAAAGCGCACCCGCTGCACCACTGCCGCCCCTAACCTCCGTGTCCTTGCACCCACTCGGCTGCCTTTTGTCTGCAACTTTTTTGCACTTGAGGTCGCGCGGGGTTCAGTGTGGCGTCACGGGGGAGTTGTACTGTAAATGTTTTTTGCTGCCTTCGAGAAGAATTTTTGGGTAAACAAAATATTGAAAATAAACTAGAGTGTGGCACACACACACACACGCACAAGCGAATGGTCTGCTTGCATATGTGTCTGGCCTGGCATGTAAGTGCCAGCTAGTGCTCTTGCCCCCACGACCCCAACATCTCAAGTCTGTGTGCGGCTGCCAGCATTTTAGATACTTGCCAAGTCATACTTACATATATATATTTTTCCCCATTTTAATAACAAAATAAAAAGGAGCGTAAAAAAGAAAAACAAATAAAACTGAAACTGAAAACGTTTTGGTTTTTGCTGCTTTCGCCTGGCGGCGGGTTTAATGGCAGCGCCGAGCGCCGAGCGCCGAGCACTGGAATGTCAGCTTGAAAAACTTTTAAGTGAAGTAAATGCGCAAAATGTTTATTCAAACTTCATTTAAGCTGCAACTTTCAGGCGGCTATGCTTGGCCCACACCAGCTACCCTTGCTTGCACCCCAACCAAACCAAGACAACACAGCATTTGCCCAGTTGCCTCTTAACTAAGCTTATGTTCAGCGGCGTCTGCTGCTGTTGTTGTTTCCACTGCTGCTGTTACTGCAGCTGCTGCGCTTATTTAGCCATGTTGCAATGTTGACAGTCGCTACTTTGCATTTAAAGCTCTTAAGCTGGCTTGTAGAGCATGTTTAGCCAATTTATCAAGCTATGTGCAATAACTTAAGATCGAATAAAAGTCGTTCAATATAATATTGGAAAAGTTGTGTTTAAGTTTTCATGAATGTCTTTTTATTTCGAAAAAAAAATGATCCCTTCCTGTCAAGTATTTTGTGGCTGTATAGATTTCGGTGTAATTTATTAAGAACGAAATCAGTCGAAGCATATACCAAATAGCGCTTTAGCAACTTATATACTTTGACTCATTTCTTACTTCTTTTCATCAAAGAACTCTTAAAAAACACACTCAGAATACCAAACGTGGAACTTAGGCCATTTAATACACATTCTGTTAATCTGTCTAGGGTATTCTTAGATTAAATATTTAACAATATTAAAGTCCGGTAAAACTGAGTGGGTCAAAAGTGAAGATCAAGTCAGCTTCGCACAGCATCCAATTCAATTTTTACCTTCTCAGTTGCAGACTAAAGTGAAGTAATATTGAGTCAAAATAAATTCTTGTTAAATTTTGTAAACATTTTCAAATATTCCTTACCTTGTAAAAAATAAAAATATTTTTTCAAACACAATTCATGGCCTTCAAACTGGCTTCATAATAAAATTCATGCCAAAAAGTAGCAAGTATATAGATAAAAGTAAATATATTTTTATTTTTTAGAGTAAATGCTGCAGAGTATTTTTAAGCAGGCTACTTATCATTTACAGTATTGTTAGTTATTTAATAATTAATTTAAATTGCAGTTGCATGCGTAATGTCTGCTACACGTGCTTCTCTAAGGTAATGCCACATATCTATAATTATATAATTTATATATACATATATATATATCTGTATATATGCATTATATCTATATATAACTTTAAATATTAATAATAAGCATTTTTGATCGCAATTGACATTCGTGTAAACCACATTCTCAGTTTTGCATTGGCCCGATTTCGCAAATAACCCACATTCGATTCACCTGACTGTATAATTAACCATATTTGGTGGCCAGTTCCGTTGCTAATTAGCCAGGATGCAAGTGCAAAAGTTTTGCATTATATATATATATATTTGTGTGTGGCATAAGTTTTCAATGAACTCCTGATGCAGGCCAGCGGCAATTAGCTGTTGGCCAAACCAGAAAACTATTTGTTATGCTAAATTTCCACAAAATACTTTTTATGAGGGTGGGAGGTAGGGCGCTGTGTGTGTGTGTGCGGCATGTCTTTCAATTTATTGGCGCTTGACGGTGGCAAAAATAAGTTGCGCACTCTGCAGCAAAACATAACGCGGCAAAATGCGCCAACCAACTGAATTGGTGCCATGGCAGCTGCCACACTGCCTGCTTGCTAACGATATGACTGGAGAGGCAGCAACCGATGCAAAGCATGTTGCAAGTCGATAAATCTGTCTCTCTTTCTCTCTCGCTCTCTGTCTCTGCTTGACTCTCTTTCTAACTGCGTGCGTAGTTGGATATTAAGCTGCTTCCAAATATTAAATTAACAGCAACGACAACGTTGCAAAGCCTGCAACTGGTGTATGCAGCATACACACGCACACTAACTCATACACACACACACACACACACACTCTCACACTCACTCTCACACATATGCAGCTGCACGCAAGGATTATTTGTGTGCTGCACCAAAATTGTGGCCCCAAATGCAACACATGTGATGCAAGCAACTGCCATTGCCACTGGACCAGCTTTCTATTTGTTGTGCGTGTGTGTGCCAGTTTGTGTGTGTGCAACACGAGAAATGTTAACGCAATTTTAAGCGCATCAATTTCATTTTGTGAAAGCTAAAAGCTTCGCTTGTTGCATGTCCAGCGCACGGATCGTGCCACATGATGTGCACGCTGCTTATTGCCGTTAACAGAAAAAAAGGCCCATGTTGTTGTCATAGCTGTTGTAATTGTTGTTGTTGTTGTTGCTGTTGTTATTATAGTCGCTGGAATATAGGCCATGGCTTAAGGTCGACTTTATCAGTGTGCTTTTAGGGCGAGTTTTTAATTGGATTGATGCAGCCATGTTTTGGGCAACTCTTTTGTCTTTTGTTGCCTCTTGTTGAAAGTAGTTAATTAAATTATTTTTCAGTTTCAATGTATGTATGTACATGCATACATATGTGTAAATATACATATCAACAGCTGATAGAAGTCAACGTCAACTATTTGTTTCTATGAAATCTGCGCTTTGGTTTTAGTATTAAGCTCAATTTTATTATTTTAATATTTTTAAATATTCGAGAATCCTCAGAATTCAACTATTATTAATTATTATTATAAAATTTATTTTTATTATTATATTATAATTATTATATTAAATAACTCTGTTTCTCTATAACTAATTTTTCTGATAAATAAAACGCGAATTGATATTGATAAGGCTATACAGAAAACGTTAGTAATTATATTATATAAAATTACATCTTCTATTGCAAACTATTTGAGCAGCTTCTAGTTCTGTTTGAGCTACAATAATCTATGCTGAGCTTCTCGTATTCTAATTTCTTGTCAACTAGGAATATTCTCTTTACAAATAAATATGGCTTTCCCTTTTAAAATAACTTAGCTCTATTGCCAAGGTCTCCCACGGCATGAGTCTTTTCCCATGTCTCTTTACTCGATCATATTATATATTTAGACAAGTCCATATTTCTGCTTGAACAAGACCATTTCACTTCATTCTATTTTGGTTCATAATAAAATTAAATTCCAAACTCGAACTAACATTGCTTAAAACCTTAAAGCTTAATTAATATATATTCATATATATTTATATATATAAGTAGCTAACTCCCCTTATTATTGTTATAAATTGCATTTGCTCATTTTGCAGGGAAGTTTGGCCAGAGGAGGATGTTTTTGGCTCATACACTGCAGCACCGGAGGATGAATTGTTGCTGCTGCGCGAGATTTTCATGCACAACATTACAACAGGTGAGTGAGTGAGTGTGTGGCTATCTGAGCGTGACCAAGGCCAGTCCAGTCCAGTCCAGCTCAGCTCAGCTCAGCTCGATTTCAGCTTGTTAATTATGTTTTATTGTAATGCATTATGAAGCGACATGCTGGTTGGGCTTTTAATTAAAAATGAAAATCTGCCACTTGGCATTTGCGTGTCATTTATCTTGCACTTTCTCTCTCGCTCTATGCGTCTGCTCCATCTCGCTCTAGGCTAATTGTAGCGCTCCATTTTGCATTTGGACTCTATAAATTTGTTGGCTTGAAATAAGCCAAATTATAGCGGAAACTTTCAGCAATGGCTTACTTACACTCTCTTTCACTCTCACTCTCCCTATCTCTCTGTCTCCCTTCCCCTCTCTCTCTGCCCGTCTGTAGCCTTGTTGCACTGCGCCTGCTGCTGTTCTAAGTTTTTATACATATATACTCGCCTTTGATGTGTATGGAGCATATTGGTTTTTGTGCATTGCCTGCCGGTCTCTTGTCTTTGCTGGCTTTTACAGCTTCTTTACGGATTGACCTAAAGTTATATATATGAGCTCAGAATCATATATCATGTTATGATATCTTCCAGTGCTTTATAGTTGACTAATAGATCTATAATTTATATAATCATGGTAGATCCGCATTTAAATTAATATTTTTTCTGCTATCGAACGGTGAACGAGTATTATGCAGTTGGCTGCGGCGCGACTGCAAGTTTCTTACTTGGTTTATTTGTGCTTTGGCTCCTTTTGGCTTTTTGCCTTTTGGCTGTCCTGCGCTTAACAAATTATCCAGCTGAAATTCTTGCGCTTCATTAAAAGTAAAAAATGGCAGCACAGGACGACTGCCCAACCTACAGCGGACCCTGCAACCCGCACCTCACACCCTGTCCCCTGGCCTCTTTCACTCCTTAATTCAGTAGTCAAAAGCGACTCTGTTCTGCCAAATGAAAATATATTAAACGCGTAATTGTTTTTTTCTTCGTTTTTTTTTTGTTGCCTGTTTGTTTTTTGTTTTTTCGCTGAACGCGCCGAATGCTCTGCCAAGTGCATTGGGTTGTAAAATTTGTTGTTTGCGTTTGTCGCTTCATTCGATGTGAAATTTCTAGGCAACATGCACAATTTATTGTCCGTTACCCCAGCCCACGGCAATATTTGGCTTACGCAATTCTGACGCCAACATGACTTTTCTCTTTTCCAACTTTCTATTTTCTATTTGCAACTCAAAGTTGGCACATGCCACTCACAGCTTTCCCTATATCTATGCATTTTCCTATGTATATATATATATATATATATATATATATTCCTTATATATTTTTATATATTCCATATGACTTATCGCTGTCGATGCAGTTGCTGCACACCTTGGAGCGCACCAAAAAGTTTCTGACAAGCGTTTTAAAACACATCCATGGCTGACAGTTTTCCTTTCTTCTCGTTCTGCTGCTTCTTCTAGTAAAATATGAGCACATATGCAGCGCAGCTAGTCATACACAGATAATACTTTTTAGGGTTTAACGGGAATTTGTGGAGTGGAAAGACCATGGCAACGGCAAAGTTTGCAGCTTTGCTGCACCTTGCAGATTATCTTTACGCCTTGTATGTATATACATATAAATATTTTTTTAAGTGTAATTTATGATTTCAGTTTTTTGCACAAAAGTTTGATAGTTGTTTTTTTAATATTAAATTTTTATACGTTTCTATATTATATACTGAAATACTTCTATAAGCTGTGCCATATTCACTCTCTAAAATAATCTGCTTTTAATGTGAACTAATTTCGGTTTTAAAGTTGTTTGTTATTGATTTTTAGAATTTCAAATGGAAATACTCATATATATAGTAGTTGGAGCTAGAGATGAGCTAGAATTGAGTGGGATATTTTTACTTTTAGTCAACATGAAACAGTTCTAAATATATTTATATCTAAATATATTTATATCATATAGTAGCAATTGCATTAGACTGATTTAATAAAGTCAATAAATATTTAATGTCTAATTTGATAAGTGTAGAGATAAACATAACTTAGTCATGACCGAGTCATAAGCATATCCGCAAATGCTCTTAGACCAAATGCATTTAAAACAAAAATCGCCCTTCTTTGCAATTCTCATGAGCTTAATTATGTATGGATTTAAAAAATTTTTTTCTTAAGACATTTCTAGCAAAAGTCGCCCTTCTTTGCAGTTCTCATAAGCCCAAAAAGGTATTAACAGCTTATGCTTAGATTATTTTAATTAAACAAACATTATTCCTTAATATACATATTTTTTTTAGATAGATCTTGTTACATCTTCCATATACGCTGAAATAATTGATATATTTCTTGACTTCAACCTCCATGACATGGGACCAGTCAGAGTAATTCGATGCATTACTTCAAAATTGAGTACGCTAATAAAGGAACTTGAATATTTGCAGTGAACTTGTTTCGACTGCGGCTGCTGCTGTCAGTTTGTTTGTCTGTAGCTTCAAGCGTTGTCCATTGGCAGTCCCAGTGTCCAGATGAAAGGGAACACGTTTAGCTCAAAGCGCTGCAAACCCTTTATTGTGTCTGCGCCATTGTTTGAAGCTTTTGAGCTCGTTAAGCCCCAGACGAAAAGCGCGCCTCCTTCTAACCGTGGCGCTAGGGATTTGCTGGCCAGCTTAACGCCCCCGGGCGAGCCAATAGATTGATGGTCGGTTGACAGCAGCCCAGACTATAAAAATGCGATATATACATGCATGTGTGTGTGGTTGTTGGGTGTATGTGGGCGTTGGGTATAAAAAAGGCAACAATGCTTAAGTTTTGACTGGAGAATGCCCTGTCTGATGACGAGCTGGAGCGTATTAAGCACATAAAATGCAATCAAATTAAATTTTATAAGAAGGATATATAAAAGATTGCATAATGAAAACAGTAATAAATTGATTGAAGAGAGAAAAATAAAAATTTGAGTTTCCACTGAATTGAAATACATTTTCAATTTGGAAACATTTATTTAAATTGCTTAAAAATATTAAAAAAGTAAAAATGTTGATATTAAATAAAAATTTGATCAAACTATTCAAACTTTATTCGTGTTCAAATTGAAGAGAGAAGGACACGACTTTGAGCGCAGACACTTAACAAACATTTAAAGCTATTTGCCGCGTACATTCCATAAAATAATGTTTAATGCTCGAGGGTATTTGAATAATACAAATATTAAATGTTGCAGCTAATGCGAAGCTTGGGGCAGCGACGCGTCACCAGCTCCCCAAAGTGTCCTTTGAGCGGTTCAGTCTGGGATTTTATTAATTACCAGCGACCACAAACTGCATGTTGCATGTTGCATGCTGCATGCTGCATGCTGCATGGTATATGCTGCATGGTGCATGCTGCGTGTTGCGTGTGGCGAGTGGTTTTCGTTTAATTAACAATTTTTTTTCTGTTTCAATTTATTGCGCGTGTCTATTTGAGTTTTTTTCTCTCTTTGTTGTATTTGCTCAGCAGAAGGCAAATAAAAAATTGAATTGGCATTTAAAATTATTTATGCTCATTGTTGTGTGAGTGCCAATGTGTGTGGGTGTGTGTGTGTGTGGGAGAGTTTTGCATTGTTACACTTTCAACTTCCATTTCCATTTGGATTTCCATTTCAATTGAATTGAATATGAATGTTTATTAAGGTCCAAGGCAGACGAGCCGTACGCTTAGTTAAATCTTAATCAAGTTGCTTTCCTGATTTCGATTTGTGGCGCGCATAATAAATGATGATAATCCCCTCAGCCCACGCTCAAACTTCGCTCAAATCAGCACGAAAAAAACGAAGACCAAGAAAAAAGTAACACAAAAATCCACTCAAGTGGTAAAGCAAAAAGTGCAGAGTGTTAAAGGCAGACAGCAGCGTGTTGAATATACAGAAATATCTATATATATGTAGATGTGTGTGAGTGAATGTGTGTGTGTGAGAGAGTGTGGGCGTTTGAGGGCAAGCTCTTAACAGATTTCGCAGCGCAAACAAGTTGGTCGCCTCGTTGGCCTTCCCGAACAGCAGCCCAGGCAGTGTCCTTTAGCTCTGCTGTCGTTTGTCTCGCATAAAAATACAAAGTTTATGTTATGAACACAAATAAAAACAAAAGCACAGAACAAAACTCACCAAGAACAACAGAGAAGAGCGCGTGTTGCTGGGCAAAAAAGCGAATAAAATACAATAAAAACAAATAAAATATACACGGGACACACTCGCAACACACACACACACACACACACGCACACACTTAGTACATTTGCAACTGGCACAGCTTCAACTGCTGCCACAGTTGGTAAGGCAGCCGCAGCTAAAGCTAAAGCCACTTACTCGCATGCATATATATGTGTGCACATGTGCGCGTGTGTGTGTGTGTCTGTTGTGGAGGACACCAAGGATACCATTCAGCAAGTCCGGCTAGGATACTTACTCAATTAGGTGACACGAACTGGCGCTGGCTTGTCACTGATTTGCCTCTCAACTGGCTTTCACCCGGCACCAAGTTAATGTCGCTCCCTTCTGGCTTTTAATAGCTTCAATTTGTTTATGATCTTCGGCTTAGGTCTCTCTGTCTCTGTGTGTGTGGGTGCACTCTGGCAATCAATGCGTTAATTATATCAACAAGCTCCTTTAAATGATTTGTTTTTGCTAATTGCCCAGGCACAAAACTTTTGCAGAATGGGTGGCTAATGACATTTCAGATGAAATGAACTCTTGATTATATTATATATATGTATGTTAGGGATGGGCGTGATTCTGATGCAACTCCAGTAGGTATTTGAGTGCCCATTTCTGTTGTGTCTTCTCTTGCCTCTCATCTCTCGCATCGTCTCTGCGAATCTCACGTTGGGTTCGTTTTGCTGTCACAGCTCGTTGCTGGCACGAATTTGACAGCACTCGATTACCATATGCAGTTGCCATTGCCTCATTGTGAACCTCTGCTTTATTTCATTCTTCTTTCATAACATAATGCTGCTTAGCAGTTCTTCAAATTAAT